GTTTATGAGTGTTTTTTTCTTTAATTTCTTGTTTACCAATTGGAGACAATGTGGTGACGTCTTTAGGATTTGTGGTAGGATATATCAGTTTATGAGTGTTTTTTTCTTTATTTTCTTGTTTACCAATTGGAGACAATGTGGTGACGTCTTTAGGATACGCGGTAGGATATAACTTTTTAGGAGTGGCTTTTACGTTGTTTTCTTCTTCACCAAATGGTAGGAACTCAGTTACAGACTGAAGTTCACTAGAAATTTTTTCAGAACTATTGAGATTTCTTTTTTTGCTTCTTTTAGAGCCTTGCTTTTCAAACGATGTCGCTACAGTTGGTCTTGATGCAATTTCTTGTCTTGGAACACTAAGTCTCTGTGTTGGTATAACGGGTTTTGGCTCCACTTTTAATGTTTTCGCCAGAACTTTCTCAAGGTCTGATGAAGTCAAACTGTCAGTTGGTCGCTCATGTTTCTCCTGGTGTTTCGGGGTCATTAGTGAAAATAATAGCTTCAACTGCCCTTTAGACAACCTTGTTCCATTCAAACTTGAACGATGCCGTTTTGGTTTGGGTGTCGTTTTAGTACCTTGTCTATGCTTCTCTAGCTGCAAGTCTGGGGACTTTTCGGATGTTGGGATTCTATGCTTCGAAGACTTCAACTTGTTAGAAAGGGTCTTGCTACTGTTAGTTTGCTCATTTTGCCTTACAAGAACTGTTGCATCCACAATGGCTGGTGGTTTTTTTGTTGGCGTAATAGATTGCGCGGGGAGGACTGAAGAGCTTGACTCTGTATGCTTGGGCTTTATGCTGGCTGTGCTTTTATCTGATGTAGTGTCCGTCGTATCCGAAGCGGCAGCAGAGTATTTTTCCTGCTCTTCAATAAACGACAAAAGTTGGGACTCATTCTTTCTTTGCACAAAGGACACCTGCGTTGAAAACTCGCTGTGATGAGTTGGTACTGGCTCGCAAGACCTTTTCGAATAACATTGCACTAAATAGCAGTTCTTCTTAAGCATAAAAGCAACGTCACATTTTTTACTCGAGCAGCATTTAGCAAGGCAAGTGTCCATACTCTCAACCCTCCCCTGGTCTTTAAAATAGCCCGCTCTAATACCTGAACGTAGCGTAACATTGTAAGAGATTGGGCTATTGAAACAAGGGGAGGGGAGAGGCTGGATTAAAGTTCTATCTCCCGCTGAAGTCGATTCTAGCCCAGAATTCGACATCTCCTTTAATGCTGCTGAAACACCATGGCCATTTATGTCTGATGCAATCAGCGCGTTGCTTGACTCTATTGGCAGCTTGTTCATACTAACACTGCTTTTGACGAGCGATGGAGTGGCCCTGTCTTTTGTTTTATCTAATTTTTCCGTACTTTCTTGTACTGACGGTGATGAAGAAAATACCGGAGGTAAGCTTTCCGACGAACTACGTGACTTGTTCTTTTCGTTCTTAGGAGTCGTCGCACTTTTTGTTGACAGTAAAGTTTTTTGTTGATTATTTTTTATTCTGGTACTTGACAGGTGGTCTTGCGTTGGTAAAATTGTTGTTGCACCAATGTTGGAATTATGGATACTAAGATCCTTTACATTCAGGGAAAGTGAAGATGGAGACGCACTCATTAGTTGGGCTGCATCTGTGAAGTTTCTCGTAGTATCAACTTGTGAAGACGATGGAGTTGGATTGATGGATGTTTTGACATTAACTTGAATTCTTGATGATGGGATAAATTGTGTTAAACTTGTTTTTGAGACTGAGTGTATAAATGCATTTGTATTGGAATCGTGTTTCACTATTGCTGGTTCTATTGCATTGAGCAAGGGAATGGAAAGTTCGTCCATATTTTCAAGGACACTGCTCGATGATTCCAACGCATCTTGATCATTTGGTTGTTTTAGTTTTCCATTGTTCTTTTTTGATTCGTGTTTGCCAATAACTGAGGGGCTAGGTGATAATATTTTTGAATTATCATACTCCATGACTGGTAATGCATTGTCTAGTAACGTCATACCTGAGAGCTCGGGAGTCTTAGACTTTTTATTTTGTCTTTTTCTCGAAACATAAATCAGCCTTGGGTTATACTTGAGTGTTCGTGCAGGCACTGAAATACAAGCCTCTTGACTTTGACATTGAACAAGAAAGCAGTCTTCGAGTAGCATAAAAGCTACATCACAGTGACTCGAAGCGCAGCATAAGTCCGCACACTTTTCGATGCTTGATACATATCCTTTGTCCTTAAACTTCCCGGCTTTAAAACCGTTCTTAAAAGTAACGTTTATTTGTACTTTACCATGGTTGCAAAACTCTGAGTTCTTTTTGTCAGGAAATGTTTCATTTTCGACAATCCTGACAGGCTTTGCTGAAGAATTACGCGGGTTAGGAACGGTAGTGCTTTTATGCGAGACAGACGAATAAGTAGCTGGTCCATTCATTTTCAAAGCTGACGAGGAACTCGACTCTTTTGATGATGATTTGGGGGTCGGTGTTATCACCGGAGGAGAAATTATTGATTGTGAAGCTAAGTTGTGTAATGAAGAAGTAGAGGTCGGAGAAAATGTTGAGAGAGAAAACGCCAGTGATGACAAAGCTAAATGCTTTGATGAAGAAACGAAGGCCGTTGGAAATGTGTTCAGTAAACTAGGTGTTGGCAGTTTTGAAGCTAGCGAAACATCACACGGTTGAAGCGCATCAAGAAGATTGATATCCCGTCTTTTTTCTCTTGTTATCGAAGCTAATCTCGGATTGAACGAGACATTTCTTGCAGGAACAGGAGAGCATGCATGCTTGTCATTGCAAGCGATGATATAACATTGAGATAAAATCATAAACGCAACACTGCACGTCTGCCACTGACAGCAACGACGGACACATGCTTTCATGTCTTTCACGATTCCTTGATCTTTAATGAGACCTGCACGGACACCTCCTCTGACAGTAGAATTGGTATAAATTTTTGAGCTTGTGCAGGTTGGGTTTTCAGAAGGATCATCCTTCTTCTCATCTTTTACTTTCTTCTCAGCGCCATTAATCTCGCCTTTGAAAAAATCTAGTGAAACATTTTCACTCTTAGATGGTGTAATCTTCCCATAGGAGGAATGACGCGAGCGATCGACAAGTATTTTGCTTTTCTCAGTTAATGTTGACATACTTGAGGTTTGGATCACTGAAAAAGTACCCTGTTTATTTTTTGTTTCGAGAGAAGATGTTGGTAAATATGGAACAGGTGATGCAGGTGCTACAGAAGGTGATCGCGTGCCTTCGTGTGCTTTGTAACTGTAGGAATCTGAAGATTGAATTTTAACAGCTACTGAAGTGACGAAATCTGGAATATCGTATTTCTTAAACCCTTCCGTTTGAATCTGGGTTTTTTCAAAGCTTTTTGCTAATRAAGGTTGTAATGCCTTAGACATGATTTGGTCGATCCCTTCGCCATCATATGGTCGCCTGGTAACGTGTACAAGACGTGTGTTGAACCGTTTCGTCTTGGATGGAGCGGTCTTGCACAGCAAAGGCCCATAGCAGGTTACCAAAAAGCAACGACTTAGCACCATGAAGGCAACATCGCAGTTATCTTTTAGGCAGCAGAGGTTAATACACTCTGTGATATTGGCTACATTTCCAACGTCTTCGAAAGCACCAGCGTCGATTCCTCCTAACAACGTTGAGTCATGTTGTACTTTCTCAGGATGACACTTGGCGTCCTGACGCTGAGGCTTTGCCATTGGCTGTATTATTGAGGACAAGTCTTCATGCAGATGCATTCTTGAGGGCAATACACTTTTTACAGAAGTATGTTGGGGTGAAACCTGTGAAGATGTTTCTAGCTCATGGATTCCCTGTGGTATCAGTATATCCTTATTTTTCTTGACAAATGCAATTCTTGGATTTAGAGAAACGTTCCTCGCTTGAACAGGCTCGCACTGCTTGTCACTATAGCAAGCAACCAAATAGCATCGGTTTAGTATCATGAATGAGAGACTGCAGAATTCCCACTTACAGCATTGGTCGATGCACTTGTTCATACTTGATACCGTTCCTAGATCTTTGAAGAAACCCGAGTGGATACCACCACGCACCGTTACGTTGTACTTGAGCGAGGAGGTGCAGACTGGACCTTCAGTATTGGGAGCCACAGAAATGCTTTCTTGTAAATTTACTTTAGTTATGGCTATCTTGACTCGCCTGGGGCTTGATGCACCAATGCTCGATTCCTTTGCGGTAGTCGAGTGCTCAAGCTCTTTATCGTTTTTTACTGCAGTTGCAGGGCTTATCTTACTGGCGAGTTTATTTAGCCCATCTGATTTTAAGAGARATCTCTCGACATGTATAACTCTTGGCTTTAAACTAGGATTCAACGCAGGTATGCTTTTGCAGAGTTGTTCGCTATAGCATGAAACAAGATAACAATTGTCCATCAAAAGAAATACCGTATCACAGTCTTTAGAATCGCAGCACTTGTTCACGCAGTCCATGTCACTGGCTACTTGCCCCACGTTCTTAAAATCCCCGGCCTTGATTCCTCCGCGCAGAGTAGATGTAAAGTCAGTGCTTGAATGGCTACACAGACTAACCCTGTTTTCCCCCGTGTAAGTGATGCTTAATTGGCTGATGGGCTGCAAGGCTTGTGCAAAATTTATCGCGATATTTCTGCCAGATGTTGCAGTTAGGTTCTTGTGTACATGACTTGATGACATTGTCTGTTGTGCCATCGCTGAAGTTGAACTCGGCTTTACAGGAGTAGTTTCCGAGAAACCTTTTTTATGGTTATCAATTGAGGATGGGCTGCGCTGCGATGAATAAAATACTGCTGACGGTGCTATTTCAATAACGCTTTCAGACTGCACAGATTTGTCCAATACTTTTGATTTTGTGGCCATATCTTCTTTCAGCATTGCTTGCCTAAATGAATTTGCTTCAGTACCAAGTGTATTTTGCACGCTAGCCATAGAAGATTGTGATTCCGTGTTGTTTTTCCCATGCAAAACGTTCTTGAGGGATTGTAGTAGATGTGTTAAGAAACTACCGATTGAAACTACCTTTGATTTGGAATCCTTTCTTTCATTTGAAGAACCATTTAATTGTTTTAATGCGGCTTTTAAACTTAAATCTTCAATATTGTTTGTCTTATGTGTCAAAACTGCAGCTGTAGGGGTTGCTGTAAGTAAGACTTGAGTAGGCGCTCCAACGCTTGATCCTGCCATTGTACTGCTTTTAACGAGGGTGCCTTGTTGATGTTCCTTTGTTATTTGAATGGATGACCCTTGTATAAACGAATATTCCCGAATGCTATTTTCAACATCCAATTCAATTGAGCTAGCCACATTCAAAACTGACAAATGAGTGCTTTTTAATGAATATAGCTTTTCTCTTTCTGTTATATTTTTGAGCACCATGCTCTCCAAAGATAGTAACTTCGACTTCAAGGATTGAAAGTTTTCTCTAGTCTTTGATTGGTTATTCACGAGTTTCTGAACAGTTTCATTAAGATTCTTGATAACTGGCACCTTTGGAAAGCGTTTTGTTATTTCCTTCATCACTCTTTTYATATGATACTTGTTTTCTTTTGTCATAGTTTTCATTTGTGATACTTGGTGACTTGAATCATTAGCGCTATTTGCTCCGGTGTTCGCAGTGAGTCTATTTACATACAGTTTTAGAGAAGCAATCAGATTTTGAGCACTTTTAAGGGAAGTTAAAGTCTGGTTCTGTTGGCCTTGCAGGAATCGAAGTTGGCTTTCAAGTTTAGAGTACTTTGTAGGCGATGAAGGATATTCATTATGTGATTCTTGCCGCTCAGAAATAGAGAACACGCTTTCCACAGGGATGGTTTTTGTCTTACTGTTAGATGTATTGTTTACCGCATTCGAGGAATATATTGTGCGGCTTTGAGATGGGACTAAAGTATAAACCACTGTATTCGATGTAATTGCCGCGTTCTCAAGCTTCGATGTTTTAGGACTCTCGCTAAACCCGTGGGATATATTGACAGCTGTTTCTTCTGATTTCTTTCCGCTATAGAACACCCTGGAAACACGAGAAGTGGACGTTGCCTCACTCTTTCGTGTCATGGTAGCTTCTGTTTCCTCTGATTTCTTTCCGCTATAAAACACGCCAGAAACACGAGAAGTGGAAGTTACGTCTCTCTTTGGTGTCATGGTAGCTGCTGTTTCCTCTGATTTCTTACCGCCATAAAACACACTGGAAACACGAGATGTGGAAGTTGGCTCACTCTTTGGTGTCGTTATAGCTGCTGTTTCCTCTGATTTCTTTCCTCCATAAAACACAATGGAATACTGAGATGTTGAAGTAGGGTCAGGCTCACTCTTTGGTATCGTGGTGGCATTTCTATTACTTTTCTCGACGCTAGTATAAGTCTCATGCAGACTCGAGTCATCACTCAATTCATATGGTAACTGTGGAAATAAATCGGAACCAAGTGCCTCAAGAAGCAAGGACGGAGACTGATGTTTCTTTGCTTCACCAACTAGCGTTGTTTTAATCCGTGCATTCCCTGAATTACTGTCTTTCTTCACTTCCAATGACGGTGACGGTAATAGGTTTATTTTTTCTAGTACTCCATTTCTTCTTTTTCCGTCAGATTCTACCATTTTGTCATAAACTTTGGGATACTGTGACGCAACTGCTATAGGCGATGGCTGCAAAACTATGGAAATCGAGTGAAGTACGTTATCCATTGAATTAGTGGCTGCTGTGGGTCGTACATTTGAGGTTTGCTCTAACCGTTTCGTTTTTCCAGTATACGTATTTTCTGATGGATGGCTAACGGGAAGCTCATTGTTATGAACTGATAACATTGGGGAAGGCGTTAGGAGTTCTATAGGGAGTAGGCCATTTATGATTGGTTTTTCTGATTTGTCCTTTACAGCGAACTGTATTTTAGACAATAAGGTTGCGGTAGCGGCTGGTGAACTTGTTGTAGGAAGTACGCTTGAAGCCATGGTTGCATGTTGGCGAGATGATACAATAGGCAGTTTTGTTGCAGCAGTAGTGTTGGATCTCTCTGAAACACTGATTGTTCTGTATAATGTTAATGACAACTTAGAAGACGATGGTGACATCGTAACTGATGTTGCTATGGAGACGACCGACGCTTTAATGATTAATGAACTGGATAAAGGAAGAGTATGATYTGTCAGAGAAGTAACGACAACTTTTCTTGATTGGATGTTTGCTGTTCTGTCCTTTGACGAAAATGTAGATTTGGAGAACAAGGGTTCAGTTAAAGCAAGTGGTGTTGCTGTTGCTGTTGCCATGGGTATGGGTGTTGCTATGGAAATAGCTGAGGCTTGACTACCATGTAAACGAGATGTAGTAGTAGCAAGTCCTCTTAGTGGCTTAAGGCTTACTTCCGTTGACTGATCCGTTACTGTTTCGTCCACTGTTGTTTCGTGGCTACTGTGGTCCCCTTGTAGCAGTTCAAACAGAGCATCAATCGATCCCTTTACTTCATGAGGTACGTGTTTATCTATTTTTGCAGCAGAAACTGTTTTACTCTCCTTTAGTTGCAGCAATTGTTTATGAAATTTATCAGATGACGTCAATTCTTTTTTTGGAGACGATTTTGCCATATAGTCTAAGCCTCCAGAAACCTCTGATTTGAAAAAAGACATCGGTGTTTGTTGAGTATCTTTATGAGCTGGAGGCCCGATGTTTATACGCTTCGCTCCATTTTCTTCGCTGAGATCAGCTTTAGCAATCTTCTCTGTAATATTAGTTTCTCCATATAACGATTCGGGTATCATTTTTGCAAACAGGTCTTTCTCTTGCTTTGTTCGTGCAACATAAGCAATCTTCGGTGTGTAAAACTCCGACTGCGCTATGGCACTCCTGCATCTGATTTCATCAGGACATGATACTAAGAAGCACCTAGTTCGCAGCATAAAGATAGCGTTACAAGTACTAGAAGCGCAGCAATGCTTGATGCAGTCTTTGGTGTTGTTGACTTGTCCGATAGGTTGGAAGTCACCTGCGTCCATTCCAAGTTCAAAACGAACGTTGCTTAAAACAGGACTGGGGAAGCATGCTTGGTTTGCTCCTTGGATACTGGTTTTCATGTCGCTCTTCGCATTCATACTTTTTAGTAAATGCTTCAAAAGAAGTTTTTCATCCGTATTTCTTGCAATGTATGCGATACTGGAATGATCTTCAGTATGGACATCATGGCATGTTTTCGAGTCAAAGCAGGCTACTAAATAACATGAATTCTCTCTGAACATAGCAACATTGCATTCTGGCGTTTCACAGCAAGCTTCTCTACACTTTTCAAATGTCTTGGCACTTTTTTGAAGCTGAAAATCCTTTACTTTTAATGGCATCCGAAGGGATGCATTTGTTAGATATACAATGTCCATACACCCCTTTGGAATATCATTGTTAGAAATTTCTTCAATTTTCCACTTTCCAGTTCCTGGAAGATCGTCTGGATTTAAAGGCATGTAATGTTTTTCCTTTATTGGTATTATTGACTGATACGATGCTGTTATCGTAGGACTGATCTCACTTGAGTTCCACACAAGGCTTGATGCGGTTACTGACGCTGATGGCAGTGAAAGGTTTCGCTGCGGTATCCCCTTATCTTCGTTTTTGTTCCCAACTGGTAGGATTTCAACTACAACATTGTTTATGGCCGGATTTGAAGATTCAAGTAGGGGCGAGGTAGGAATAATTGTACTAGAACTGTGTTTAACTTCATGGTTATTCATGCTTTCTCTTGTGAACTGACTTTCGTTTAACATTACGTATTCCTCTTGGTACGGGGTATTTCCTTCAAGTAAAGAAGTCTCTGATTTAAAGTTGCCCGTCGGGGATTTTGAAATGATATGATTTTCTGTTTCTACAGCACTTGGATTAATTTTTCGCACCACAGAAGGCGAAGATGCGTATTGCGTTTTGGAGGAGAAAATTTCCTTTGGTTTTGATAAAGGGTCCATCCCCTTTAGAACTTCCTGAACGATACTTTGTAAAATAGGCGCCATTACTGTTTCTTTTGTCGGCTGTGGTTCAGATGTAAGTCTTATTTCGTGTGGCATCAGTTTACTTTTCACTTCAGAGGAAGGCGTTGTATAAATTGTTGGTTTGATATTGATTTGGGAATGCGATATTTGTTGCGAAACTGGAGGTGGCGGCGAAGATGTGGTTGCACTTGATGAACCCGGAGCCTCATTTAATGATGAGTTCAATAGCTGTATCTGTTTTACGTCACTCGCAAGGTTTTCAATTATTTCTTGAGCACTTGTAAGTTGTGGATTGGCACTGGATGCAGACTTGACAGACACGAGTTGTGGAACCATAAATGCGCTACTTGATTGCTTTAAATGACAATTCTTTTCTTTAAAACAGACAAGGTTGTAGCAGAAACCTCCGATCAAAAGAGCTGACTCACATCCCTTGTATCCACAGCATATGTCGGCGCACTTCTTGATATCCTTCACATCTGGATACTTTATAAATTTACCTGATTTCCATCCGCCTGTTATGTTTACATTGAACTGAACGGGGCTGACATGACAGTTCGTATCTAGGATGCTCTTCAAACGATCTTCCTTCAATGGGTTTTCGCCTTTTATTCGGACAAATGCCATAGAGGTTTGGTATTTCGCATTTTTGGCCATCATTGGTTGGCACAGGCTTTTGCTTGATTGACACTGTATCGCAAAGCAATAGGCATCGACAAGAAAGGCAACATCGCAAGTTGGATTTCTACAGCATGTCTTTATACACTCCTTCATGTTTGATACTATTCCGTGGTCCGTGAAGATCCCAGCTTTGAAACCACCACTAAAAGTGACTCCTGTCATAACTTCTCGTTTTTCCGAACATGATATAAGTTCTTGAGGCTTATTTTCAAATGTCTCGGCTCCAGATCGTTCCATGAGTGCAATCCTTGTACTGTATTTCGTGGTTTTAATAGGTATTGGGACACATCGGGTTTTATTAACAGAGCATTGGACGGAGAAGCAATTTCTTTTAATCATGAAGGCTGCGTCGCAGTTTGGACTTTCGCAGCAGATTTTTACACAAGAATTAAAGTTATCTACTTTGCCTTGATCTGTGAAGTTCCCTGCTTGTAGTCCTCCTTTAAAGGTAACATTAAGAAGAACGCCTCCAATGGCTATACATGTATGGTTGTGTTTTCGACCCATTTCTAATTCTTTCAATGGAATCAATGCACTCTTGAAAGACTTGTCGAAGTAGACAAGTGATGTGTTCACCTTTTTAGAGCGAGATGGTATTGGACTGCATCCTTTTTCATTAAGACAATCAACGATGAAGCAGTTGCTTTGCACCATAAAAGCCGCGTCGCAGTCCTGTCTGGAGCAGCAATGCTTGAAACATGTCTCTATGCTATCCACTTTACCAAAATCCGTGAAGTTTCCAGCCCGTATTCCTTCCCGGAATGTGACATTCTTCAGAACTCTTATATTCTGAGCACATGCCAGAGAGTCGGCCGTTGAATTTTCTCTTTTACTGCTGAGTTCGAGCTTTTTGTCAGTAGTGCCCAGTTGATACGGAAGGCTGGATAGTCTTTTCTTCATGTACACTACCTGGGTAGTCACAATACTTGAGTTGAATGGCAGTATTTCACAGGTCCTTTGACTGTAGCATTCAATTGAATAACAAGTTTTTCCCACCAAGAAGGCCACGTGACAGGACTTCTGCGCAAGGCAGAGTGTGGTACAGTCAGTCATATTTTTCACATTCCCTCTGTCCGTGAATATTCCTGCATTTATTCCACTTCTGAACGTCACATGAGTAAACACTTTGCTTTGTTCATGGAAAGAAGAGGAATTAAGCGACACCGAACTCTGTTGCTGACTTGGACTTGGACGCGGTGAAACCTTCAAGTGTATGGTATTTTCCTGAATAACAGAGTTGCTACTTGAAATTCCAGTGGTACTCTTTTTCTGGTACGATATTTGTGGCTTAGCTTTAATACTTTCTATCGTAAAATGAGTATTTGGTTCATTTGAAGGTGAGGTCAAAACTGTACTGCTTGTGATCGGGGAATAGTTTTGCTTCAAGTCTTTGTGTTGCGAAAGCTTGTCTAGAGCTGATGCCTGGAAAGTCGAAGCTTGCCCTTGAGAGCCAGTCTTCGATTCTGAATGTTGTCTACTTGGATGGGCTGAATTGGTGCTCAATATGAGACGTTCTGTTGGTGTCGTGGCTTGGGTTGAATGTCTATTCAGTTTTGGGGTCGCAGACAATGGTAATGACTGCAGTAGGAATGGCATTGTAGTGTCTTGACTGTTCTTTGCTATTGCTCTGTCATACCATTTCTCTAAAACCAGTTTCTTCAGTTCATTCAGTTTTGCGTTGAATAATTCGAGAAGTCTAATTTCCCGAAATGCTTCTTTATCAGTATCGTTTGTTGGCTTAGCGATATTTGATCTTCCACTTATGTTATTGTCCGAGAGTTTATGTTCATGTCGTTTTTCCTGTATGTTCTTTAGACTTGAAGATAGATCCTTGAGGCGTTCTATGTTGCTTTGCAAGTTATCAAAAAGCGTATCCCCAATGGTTTTCATCGAGGAAGATGTGAATCCAGTCGAGCTTGGTAATATACTGTTCGACAGTAATAAGCCATTAAGGTCATTAACCATACTGTGCACTGTATCCAAGGAATTACCATCAAACTTTTGTCCATCTAAGAAACTTTTGAGTTTTTGTACCACATCGAAAAATACTGGGTCAGCCACAATGTGGCTGGCAATATGTTGGATCTTTTCCTCGTCATTATTCTTATCTGTGTCAACTGAGGATATGCTGTAAATAGATTTGGCTATACTTGGTTTTATGGATACAGAGATCGAAAATGAAGTTAATAATGAAGAGGCTGACAAAACAGGACTGTTAGTTGGTTGCGGAGCAATCGATAGCTTGGATCTTGAAACTAAAGATTGTTTGTTACCACCGTGTGTTTCAAAATCTGCTTCGTGACTTGGTAAAGTTTTTGATGACGATGTGGTATTGATTGACTCATCATGACTTGTCTGCAGTATGCCTGGAGAAGACTTTTGCAGTGGATTCAAAAATAATGAATGACTTTGCCCTGGCACAAGACCAACACTTAGCAAGCTTTTCGGTGCAGTTTCTTCAGTAACACGGACCATCGTCTTCCGCAAGTTTTTCTTTTCCGCTGATGACCATTTAACTTTTGGCGAGAGACGAGCTTGAGCTTGAGTCGAGATCTCAGGAGCGTTTAATGCTGACTTAGGAATCTTGCGGACGGTCTGACTACTCTGAACTCTTAAGGTACTGCTCCACTTAGCTTCTGATGTTTTTGCAACTTTCATTTTGGTTTTTAATCTACTAACAGTTTCCCTGGCTGAGACATCTATAGTGACAGTCTTCAAGTAAACTTTAGTTTGGTGGTCGGCTGCTGAACTTGCGGGAAACGGTCTAAACGAACTTGATAAAGCTGACAAGCTATCGGTCCTTGTAATAGCGGATTTGGAAGCCAGATTTGAATTGCCGTTGTCGGAAAATAACAATGGCCGAGTCATGGTGACAATCTTTGGAGCCGTTTCGTTTGCAAACAAGTCCGTTTCCGTTTCGTTGGACACGAGTATGGTATCATTCGACGTCATTTCTTCATCGGGTGTTAAGTCGGTTTCATTGTCAGCTGTTTTACTTCTGCTCATCGGATGAGTGGAATGACCCAACACATTGGAGACGTGCTTTGTAAAGGTATCTTCTTCCTTGCGAGGTGTGTAGTCTTGATTTTCCATTGCATCTGAACATAGTAATAGTAATTAATTTTAGCATTAAATTTATTAGTGAAAGGCGGAACCTAAGTAGCATGATCTGTTATAAGCTTATCCTTTCGCTTGGAGAAAAAAGTTTCCTGGAAATTAACAAACTTTCAGAAAGAAAAAAGGGGTAGTTCCCATAGCGCGTCCGCTGTACTCGCGTTTTTTTTTTGGAAAATAACTGAATGCGGTTCTAACTACTGGAACCAAAAAATATATTACATTAGTTTCGAGAAATATTGGCAATACTCTTTTCAAAACGATTGAAGTGTTAGCAGCTGCAGTAACACCTAAATAAAGTCTTACCTGAGTTGAGGTCATTCAATTGTCTTTGACGGACAATAATTTTTGCATTATATTCAGTACGCTTGGAAGGAACAGGATCGCACTGTTGTTGACTCTGACACGTTACCATGAAACAGAAGTCGCTTAGAATGAGAGCTACATCACATTCGTCGCGTTCACAGCAGAGCTTGGTGCAGGTTTTTGTGTCATTCGTATCCAGTAGTAACTGGAATTTGCCTGCTGATTCTCCGCCTCTTAACGTTACGTTGTGGTAGACTTTGGAAAACTAAATGAAAACAAATAGGAAGACGGTTTGAGATCTTAGATATACAGCAACTTCATAACAGATTATGGAAAGGAAACCACGGTTTATAAAACAGAAACGCAAAGCAACAAAGATAACGAATAATAACAATGCAACAACTAAAACAAAAAGCAATGAAAACAATAGTTAAAAAAACAACAGCCACGATATCAAGAAAAGGAACAACAGCAAAAACAACAAGCAAGTACCGCAACAACAGCAAGACAACGACAACAAAACAACAACAGTAAGACAACAATGATAACGAGAAAAGGAACAACAGCAACAACAACAGCAAAAACGAGAAACAATAACAGCGATGACGATGAGCGACGACAACTGTAGCAGCAAAACCAACAAAGAGTTCATACCTTACAGTCCGTCGTTGATTGCTCTTTTTCCATGCCTTCAAGCATTTCTTTATTTCCGGTGTCTGCCTGGAGCATACTTTCTTCATTTCCTCCAGAAACTTCGATCAGCGATGAAGCTTCATCTTCACTGTGGGCTATTTCTGACTTCCTGTCATTCTTTTCCTGTTCGCTTGGATATGTTACCGGTATTTCCCTGGGCGAGGGTGGATTCCTTTCTGATGGCTCACCGTCTTCAGATTCCCCACTTTGGAACGAATCTATTTTGTCCTCTTCATTATTCTTGAATAAGTCATCAGGACCTGATTTCTCAGCATCCATGGAGGCTGTTTGAATGGGTAAGCCGTTTTTAAAGTTGCTCTTGTTGGATTGAGAGGAAGGCCTGATACTTGCATCTGGCTCGATTGAGAGCTGTATACCCGTTATAGGAATGCCTCTTACCGGAAATATGTTGGATTTTGCTTTTGCGCTATGCCAATTTGTTGCAGCACTACTTGCTAGGTTATTAACTAATGTACTTTCCCAAATTCCACTTGAAACTGTGTGTTGTATGCCAGTTTTAATTATACCTTTCCTAGACTGTTGACGCATGTTCTGACTGCTTTGTGACACAAGTCCTGAGGTTTCTTTATGCATTTGCAATTGTTCTCTTAATGTTTGTTTGCTAAAGTCTTGTGATGTGATATCCGACTTGCTCCCAAGATTTTTGACATTCAAATCAACGCTGACGAGGGAGGGAGTAATGACGTGGTTATTAGAGGAATGCAGTGATTCCCATATCTTAGTTATTGTTGGTGATGGTGATATCATACTTGAGGCCATTGAGGTTCTTAATGGGATCGTTTCTACTATGGAAGTTTTGAAGTCTGCAACGATAGAAGATTCAGCAATGGGAATATCAAACCTTGACACTGGTGTACTATCCAGAATGGTGTAGGCTGACTTGTTAGGCCTAGGACTTCCTGAAGCAATAGATAAGCTGACGGGCAAGGTATGTTGAACCGCTGAAATGCAACAAAATTATTGACATTTCAATCACATTAACATTAGTATTATTAGGAGCAAATGTAGTGATTGGATTTTGTGGAAGCTGTTGCTGGGCATTCATTGTATATTCCCTAACGTGCTACACGCTCGAAAAAGTAATATGCAGCTAATATGTAGCTAAACTTTACTGAGCATTATTAAAATAAAGGTGAAGGTAACAAAGATGAACAGATGATAAAGTATAATGTTACTTATTGAACTTACAGTGTTCATGCTTAAGGTTTCCTTGCTTGGCCCTTCTGTATGCGGCTACAGGTTGATACCGTGCAATCTTTGTTGGTACTGGCTCACAAAGCCAACGACTCTTACAAGCCACCATGAAACAGTAATTTTCCAGCAAGAGTGCAACGTCACAGTCATCATGGTGGCAGCATTTCTGAGTACAAGATGTGAGGTTTTTTGTTTCCTCCAGAAGTTTAAAAGTACCAGATTGACGTCCTCCACGCAAGGTAATATTATAAAGAACTTTGTCAAACTCGCATTTAAGTCCAGCTAGTTTAAATTCACGGGCATCTTTGTTTGTGAACTGTGCATTCTCAATGGAATGGGTGGTTTCGCTGAAAATCCTTGCACTCAAACTAGTAGTCAATACACTGCTATTGCCCTTAACTGAACTTGGGTTAATTTCAGTATGGTCAGAGCTAACAGAGGTCAGAGGTAACAAGTTCTTTGGCGATCTACCGTCCACGACGTCATTTAGTGGACTCGTTTCTTTACCATCTACATCTTTTACTGACTCCTCTGAAACAATGGTAGCAGAGGAAAAAGAACGGTCTTCGCCTCGATTTCCTATCAGTTTCGCATTTGGACTAGTGTTACCAGACCCTGTTTCAAAATACTCATCACCACTACCCGACACTTCTGTTTCTTTAGGTTTCTTTCCAGCTTCGCCTGCCTTGTCCTTAGCATCGGGGAATAGTTGTCTTGAATGCGTAAAACGTGGTAAATACATTATCAAGGGTTTATATTGATCTGAATTATGCGCTCTTACTGGCATACAAAATGTATCGTTCCGGCAACGTACAGCAAAGCATCTTCCAAGTACCATGAAGGCTAAGTCGCAATGTTTTGAATTACAGCATTCGATCAGACAGTCATCAGACGAATTGAATTTCCCAAGGAAACTAAAATTCCCAGATGTATAGCCTCCTTTTAAGGTCGCATTATTAAAGACATATGAAGCATAGCATTGTGATGGGGATATTTCAGGAGTGCTTCTTGTCTCACCATGCACGCCACTTTCACTTCCACTATATTCATCTTCATTCATCTCTGCACCTGAATTTTCAGTATACGACTCCGGCGGTTCTCCTCTCGTTTCTTGTACTCTATTAATTTTTAAATATTGCGAAGGTAAAGTAATTTTAACGGCAACTTTTCCAACTTTAGGACGAGGTATCGTTTGTTCCTTTTCCCCTGGTTCTTGAATTTCCTTGTAATATGTCCCACTTCCAGACATGTCTTCAATCATCTCAACTCGACTCACGGTTTCTGTCTTTCCGGAGTGGAAAATTTCGGTTTCTGAAGTTGCTGTCTCTGATAACGTTGGTTCTGCAGCGTTTCTTCTTACGCTTGGTCTCGACGATCTAGTAGTAGGGTACTTATCAAATACAATAGGTGATGTAGGCGAACATGGCATATTTATTAATTTAGAGGATACACTAGTTCGTAGCAGTGAGCTTTCTGTTACACCCTGCCCGTTATTTAAAGATAAAGTTTTTGAGCCTTTTTGGTCAGGAGATTTTTGTTGGTCAATTAAAGATGAGGTTGAATTGAACTTCTCGTGTGGAATTAGAGATAAAACAACATCTTGCATATCGTTGGGTTCCAAAGCCGAGCTTGGTTCATAGGAATCCATTGCATTTGCCGAGACAGTACCGATATGCCAAGACGCCGAGTTATGAGGCAAACCGGACTGCTTGTTTGATAAAAAAGATACTTTAATATCTTCTGTATCCGAAGAGCCCTCGTCTACATTTGCAGCAGAGGATGAGAGCATTGGAGCTTCGTTATCGTAAGTGTCCAGTTCTGATTCACCTGAAGCTACATAGTCAGCCGTTTCTGTAAGGGATGGTATTGCGTTAAACTTTGAAAGAAGGTCACCCTTGAAGTCTTTTAGCTTCGGACGCTGGTAACTTACGATGTTCTTGCCTTGTATTTGATCTTCTTCTGATATGGAAGGAATGTTCTTAACATAGAAATCCGGATGTCCACTTTCTTTTTGATGTGTGTGTTTTCGTCCAAGCAGATGTTTATGGTGTGTCATATGCTCGTCTGAAGCATGTTTTCTATGGCCATGGACTTCGAAATGTTTGCTATGGCCATGCATTTCGAAATGAGCATGCGGTTTATGAACTATCGCTTCTTCAGTTGCTTTGTAATCTTGTTCCTCTTCTAGCTGGATCTGATGGTGTGTTGTGTCATCAAGATCATGGTCATTGACCAAATGGACAATCTTCTGTTCCAGGAGTTTATCTACTTTAGACAGTTGATCGCTAGTCGTTTCTGAATCATTAATGTTAAGAGCGTCGCTAATCAAGTTCACTGTGCTCTCAATGTCCATCTTTTCTTGTAGTGTTTGTTTTTCTTGATTTTCAAAGTTATTCAACCTAGTTGAGTTCTGTGGATGGTCTTCGCTTTGTGACGTTGCTTGTGCATCCGACGATGATTGAGTACCCCACAATGGTTTGTTGAATCTTCTAGTAATAAAAACAACACTTGTTTTGAATTTACTTTGTCGGATCGGCGCTGTTCGGCAGATGTTTTCGGTCCAGCACTCAATACCGTAACATGAATCGTCTAACATGAAAGCAATATCACAATTACTTGATGAACAGCATTCCTCGATGCATTTATCCATGGTCTTGTTGTCGCCATAGTAAGTGTAGTTTCCCGCTTGTAAACCACGGTATATGCTTGCGTTGCTTATGACTTCTGAATGTGGGCACTGTTTGCTGCTATTATCAAACTCTTTTTTGGTATGGAGATCTTCATGCAAATCTTGTGAATGTGCCTTTCCATTTGGTGTTTTGGTCTTTTCTTTCCCCATCGTGGTGTCATCGGTAAGTTTCAAAATAATCTTTTTAACATGGTCAGAGTAGTCATTAACATCGGATTTTAGCTTGCTCTTGGAATCTTGTTTATCGATAAGGGTAGGCAAAGACTCAGTTTCCGAGTAAGTTGAGCTTTCTTTTTGCTTTGGTGTCTTTTTTTGCCCTCTAAATACATATGCAACTTGTGGATGGTACTTGGTCACGTGATATGCCGTCACACYTCTGCACATCTCATGCTTGTAACACGAAACCGAGTAGCAGAAACTCTTTACCATAAATGCTAAATCACAGTTCTTTCGAGCGCAGCAAAGCTTGATGCAAGCCTGCATGTTTTCCACTTTGCCATGAGCATAGAATTTTCCAGAATGAAAACCACCACGAAGAGTAAGTCCTTTATGAATTGGGCTGTGACTACATAAAGATACCATCTTGACTACTGGAACAACCAACTCAAATTTTTTAGGCAACTTTTTCTTTTCATGATTCTCGTGTACAGCAGTGGTAGTGCTTTCATCTTTAACAGCAGCCTTCAATAGGTTTATGGCTCTCAACAGGATTTCTTTACCAATACCAACAACACGGCGACCTACCCCAATGGCATGGTTAGTCTTTGCCTCTTCTTTCATTGTCTGCACATTCGCTAGCTTCTGTTGATGTGCAGTTACAATGTTTAATCCAGTTTTGGCCGTCAGTTTTCCGATATGGAACAAGTACTTAGCAACTTGAACTGCATGTTGCTTATGTATTAGTGACAGATTCAACAGCGTATCCAGGCGGTCAAAACCATCTAACGAAGCATTTGTGTCGTGGTAAGGGTGTCTTGCGTGTACGTTATGGATCTTTGAAATTTCGTGAGATATGTGATGAACAATGACATGGCGAACCGCAGGTTCACTTCGAGCTGCATTAGAACGCAATCTAGCTTTTGACATTCCAGACTTCAACGTTTTACGATGTTCTCTACCAGGTGCCGGTGATTTTATATGGCTTCTGTATTTGTGTTTGTAATGTTTGTTTTTAGATTTCTTGCTTGGATGTAAAACACTGTGGTAGACACGAGGCTTGGTTCGTTTAATAACATCGGTATAGCTTGGTCGAACTGATCCAACATCCTTTACCTTACCACCATCTGTTCCGGGAGGCCTCTCACGTCCGTTTAGCGTAACATAGTAAGAGACCGTTCCCGTTGTGGGGTAAGGTTTTGAAGGAGACGAAACTGCAAGGGTGGGGTGGAAATCTACAAGAAAGCATGAACATACAAGTCAAAAGAAATCATTAAACGCTTTTAGTCATTGACCCTATTAAGGTGCATTATTCAAAGGGCAGGGCAGGGCCATTTGAAAACACACACCGCCATAATAAGAATGCCCAAGCAAAATTTTATTTAAAAAATCAAGAGCAAACAGAGGAACCCTAGCGTATATGTCACGTAAGTGAGGCTTTCGGTGGAACTGGTGCAAAGCATATATTTAGATTTATGCAGGCCCTCCCCTACCTATAAATCTGTAAAGCTCACCAGTAAGTTGCGAGTATTTAATTTGTATTTGGGAATGTATAAAATAAGGTGCCATATTTTTTGGCTAAAGAAGGATAAAAACGAAAACTGAAAAAATCAAACTTAAATAATTCTTACCTTTAGACCTGGTGACGAAGGCCAATTTAGGATTAAATTGCAGGTGATTCACTGGCACGGTCTGGCAAAACGTGCCCACGCAATCGACTGCATAGCAGCTTTTACCAATCATCAAAGCTAGACTGCAGTGCATATCATTACAACAAAAGTCCAGGCAATCACTCATCTCTGTCATTTCTCCCCCGTAGACGAAGTTACCTGCTTTCCTGCCGTAACGTAAAGAATGGTTGTAAAGGATGTTACCAGAGTGACAAGATGTTGCAGAAGAAATGTTCCTTGGGACAACTGGAGTTCCATGGATGGAAGAAATAGCTGAAGTGATGCTGCTTTTCTTGATGGGATGAAGATGTTGTTGGTGGTGAACATTTTTGCCTTTCCTTTTGGTATTTTTGCTCTTTTTAGTTTTAGGAAGTGAGTTATGGCTTCTCGAAGTTGAATGTTTCTTCCAACCAGCTTTCACTTTCCTAGAGTGATGCCTACTCTTCCGCGTCGAGCGATGCTTTGGAATGACTTTCTTGTGTTTTGCTTTGAAAACATGTTTGGAACTGCGGCTTATGGAAGAAAGCTTTTTATGTCTTTGAGATTCAACACGATTTCTTGAGAAGTGTTTTAAAAATCTGTGTTTTGTTGACTTTTTCTTGAGTACTTTTTTTGTCTTTTTAACTTTGGTGGTCTTAAATTCTTTCTTCACTTGTTTCTTTTTAGCATTGCTCTTCTTCACCTTCTCATTATGTCGCTTGCCATGGTTTAAAGTATTCTTTTTTCTTTGCATTGGAACCAATTTTTTAACACTCAAATTCTCTTTAGCTTGCATCTTCTTATTCTTCTTACGCAGCGAGTGCACTTGCTTGGAGCGTACTGGTGAACGTTTCTTGTTAAGGCCATAGTAAAACTCTTTGCTTGTTTCGTTAGGTTTCACTAGATTCTTTCCTAAGCGCTTGGCAATATTATGGTGTGGCCCTATCCGTGCATGCGCAGATTTCTCTTTTCGTTTGTCTGGCTTTGCAACGACAGACGTCGTTCTATGTCGGGCCACTTCAGTCTTGGATGCTTGTACCTTGCCCGAAACAGCTGACAAGGCAGTGGTCTTGGTGTGGACAGAAGAGCGCTTTGGAGATTTTGACACGGGCTTGGAGTTTGTTTTGGCAATTCCTGAGCTTTTGACTTTGCGTGGAACACTAGAGGTTGTAAAACCTCTTTTTTGATGGCCATTCTTGGCTTTAGATCCAGAAACCTCGACTTTTTTAGTTTTGGTGATATCTGAAATGATAAAGACACTATTTAATCAACCACTAGAAAAGAAAAGAAAAACGAATCTGAACCATTTAAAAAAAATTTTTTTACACACACTGGCTTATCGTTACACTATAAAGGAACACTTATACCGCGCGGAAATCCACGAGATAAAATGGCAAAGTATGTAACAACTGGCTGAAACATAATGTAATTTTCAAAATAGTTATCAATTACATTATCAAAGTTTTCAAATCGAATAAATAACAGTTTACATTTTTAAGATGATGCGAAACAATGGGTGGACAAAGAAGTGCATAACACGAAAAATCAAACAAATAACAGAAATCAATAAATAAAGTTAAGATAAAAAAATTTACGAGAATGTATTACTCGTAAAAGGGAATCAAGTATGACTTGAATATTGCAGCCACTACGTTATAAAAGGCAATTTTTTCATCATTTTTTTCTTCTCTTTTACGACATTACAAACCTACCTGACTGTCAAATACAATTTCCAGGAATAGAAACGTCTCTAAGGTAATCTCTGTTCTTTTAATCGTATACAGTTCTCAAATTGTATTTGGAAATACGATTTTTTTAACGATTTTCGGGCAAAGATCGTAAGGATTATTTCCAAGATTTGTCATCGAAAAATGGATCGTATAATCCTCGTGCAGTCTTTGTATTTCACTTTATATATTATAACTGGTGGCTTGTTTATAATTCATATTTCGCAGGTTATTCCTTTTACTCTCACAAGAGAAAACCCGGTCATCTTTTATTTGGGATCACAGATTCAGCCAATCACAGCAAAGGACTAACGTGGAAAATGACGAAATAGCAGGTTGCTATCAGCAACGGCCTTTTTGTCGCTAAACGAAGCGTTAAGTTTCTAAGTTGAATTAGACGTATGTTTCTTTATTTTGACATGTTTTTTATTTCTTTCCGAATCTAAAATTTCTAATTTGCCATGGAGTTATTTACTTTATATACATTAGCAGTTAATTAAACTGTTTTGATTTGTCGAACAGATGGACAATAAGTATTATCTATATAGGTTTTTTTCCTGAATTTAAAATATTTTAAATCTGGAATCAGGGACAGAATTTAGGGCTGGACTGGTCATTAATTAGATGTAGTAGTGAGAAAGGGGCAAGAAATACTTATTTAGGGGAAGGAAAAAAGGAAGCAGTGTAAATCTACATATAGATAGGATATAGAAAAAATGCGCTATATAAAAAAGGATTGGGGGCAGGAAAATTACAGCAGCCGTCCTTCTAAATAATGACCATTGCTCATGATACAAGCTTGCTAAAGTTCCATTTGATACTACCAAATTATAATTATTTCGATTTATTATGAAACTTAATTAAACCCCTTATATTAGCTACATAAAGGTTTTGCCTGTTTGACCTTTTTTCCCCGCTGTAATAACAAATATAGCAGCTAGTCCAGAGGTTTTTATCACAAGAAGATCAACAGCAACAAGGTTTACGACTAACAATTGAACAAAAAATGTATTCTCCAATACCTTTTGTGACTTGCGCCTTAATCCTATGGGGGCTGGTGACGTAAGAGAGCTGTAACGCGTGTTTCACTTTCGAAGCAGGAACCCATTGGCATGCCTCTTCACTATGACAACTGACTGAGAAACATCGTTTTCCCGCCATAAAAGCCGCGTCACAGCGAGCCATTTTACAGCAATGTTTTTGACACAGCAACATGTCGCCCAGTTCCCCATGATCCACAAAATGTCCTGAATTGAAGCCAGCTGATAAAGTCACGTTGATTATGATAGATGTCTTCAAGCACTTATGGTCTGCGGAATTCTTCCTCAGATCAAATGCTTCTGAAAAATACAAGCGTTTAAATCAAACAAAACTTTGATTCTTTTTGCTATCTTCCTTCATTTTCTCCTAAACCAGCATATTCTTGTATACAGTTCCTACTTATTTTACGAAAAATTCTTTGTTTCGAGAAACGTCAAAATCTAACGTTCGTTTTCCTGTAATGTTTTCTGTTTAATGAGCTCTTACAAGTATAAAGCCCCGTTTACACTAGCGATTTTTTGTGTGATTTTTTTGCGATTTTGTCCATAATAAATAATGGTAAAGAATTTACTTGTAAAGTTTTTTTCAGGGTACCAAGAATTTCCTAGACGAATGTCTCTTTTGAAGGATGAGACAAAAGATTTCATATTTCGGAAAATAGCCACAAAAATCGCCGCAAAAATCGCCAGTGTAAACGGGGCTTAAGATTCATCTGAGAAGAAAAGTTTATGTTCTTGCTCAACCAATCAGATTCCTTTAAATTATCTATTTTTCCATTTCTCTGTGAATTAAAAGCTAGGGGTGTGGTTCTCTTGACATTCAAAATGAAAAATAAAAATAAAAATAAACTTAACAGGTCATCAAAAGAAATCTTATTTTTCCTTTCCACTTTAGAAATGCTTTCCTGTCTTTATTAATTTTGACTTTTTCTCAGAAATGGTCGACACTGAAAATATTATCCCAATTTTGCATAACTATATCTCATTCGCGAAGATAGGGTCACCCCTGTCCTAATTCTTTGCTTTGTTTTGCTTGATTGTAAATAACCCACATATATGAAGATAGGGTGACAAATGGCAACACTTTCGTTGATGATTTGAAATGCATACAATTATTTGTCTAATGTTTTATTGACAAGAAGTACATGTGGCTTAGTAAACTTAGTTTAGACTTGAGAAGCCAAGCATTAAGTATATACTACTCGTGTCGACGTATCACGTTTGGCTCAATGAAGCGGTTAATTTGCTTATAATTAATTGAYTAAAGTAATAAGCAAATCCAGAAGTGCAATGAAAAAGGAAAAATAATAATATTATTTTTATGCTGTAGATAAATTGCTTCACAAGGTCGATTTATTTTCTTTTTATCCATATGTTCTCTTCCCTTCTTTTCTTTTCTTTCCATTACTTTACTTTTTTTTCCTCTTTCTTTCCACTACTTTCTTTTCCTTTCCTTTCCTCTGTTTTCCATTTTCTCTTGTTCTTTCTCTTCTCAATGTCCTTTCATTTCATTCCATTTGCTCTTATCCCCTTTCCTTTCCTTTTTCTTTTCTTTTCTTATCCTTTTTCCTCATTTAATTTAATTTCATGACCATTTATTCTATCCTTCCCTTCCATTCATTTTTGTCTTCGCGTACACTTTCACTATATGTCTAGCTAATTAAGCAGGATTTGCAAAACAAATACGTTTGACTCCATGGAAATTCCAATACTTCAGTTTTGAATTCTCTGTTCTACAGGTTTAGCAACGATTTATGTGGTTTTTCGCTGCCGCCAGTCAAAAACATGATAGGTACCAACTGATAAGGTTTGATTGACGGCAGCGAAAAACCAAATTTCAGCGAGCAACTCGGAGACACAGAGTTCGTATGTTTATGAAAATTGCAGTAATTGAATGTTTTAAGGTTATATTGACAGTAAGTAAATTGTTGATCATTATTTCAGTGAATCAGAGAGTAGGCAAATCTTATTGATGACAGCTACTACATTTGATCACTTGGTGTTAACACCATAGAAATGAAAAACTCAGAACTAATCTCACATTATCACAACTTTTACTATTTTTCTTACGATCAAGGGCAAAACAAATAATATTTATATTTTCGATATAAGAGAAAATGACATCAATATATCATTCAAACAAATACAAAAATGAAGTTTCGCACCTGAAATAGCGTTTTCATGTAACAAAACTACAAATTAGGGATAAAACGAACGACACACGTGGGTAACGCCCAACGACTGTTTTTTTCATTATCAATTCTACGTCTAGTAAGAGGTATCTCCCACTCTTTAGCTCTATTATTGAGACATCCGCAACCATTACCACTGATTCTTCAATAAGAAAAACCTGACGTTCTTGGACTCAATTCGCGTTTTTTTTTAATTACAAAAGTTCAAAAATGACAGTTCGCGGTTGGTAGTTTCTAGAGTGTATTCATTTGACCATTAAGAAAAAGACTGACACAACAGTTGACCCGAGCAAGACACGGCAATGATGCGTTTGACTGAATAAAATGATCTCCCAGGAAAGAAAATCCGAAAAATGTCAATAATTCACTACAACCGATCAAACGAGAGAGAGAGAGAAAAAAATGAATCGAGAAATAAATATATGAATCGAGAAACAAAATGCTAATAAAAGAGGGGAAAATATCGCCAAAAAATCGTTTAGATTTTAATTCTAAATCTAGTACCTGATGTTTTGACTTTCTTATGAAAATATAACACAACAAAGATTAAGAAAGAACTAAAAATAGGCTTTGCGCAAGGAATTCATCTCGAAAGTGGAAGAAATCTTAATTTATTTTGGGGTGAATTTTTTTTTTTACTTTATATTGTTAAATGTGTTAAAATATGAAGCTATAGTAAAAGAAGAAGAAGATTAAAAACAGCACGTGAAAGTGCATGTTTCAACAAGCGCAACATATCACCAAACAAATTTTTGGGCACTTTTCGGATTGCGTTGAAGTTATATTAACTGGGTTTATAGGAAACAGAAAACTGAGTAGCTATTTAACATTAACTAAGTTTTTATTCTTACCACTGGCCGCCAATTTCTGATTTCCCTTCGATTTTCCATTGGCTTGGTTGTCTTTATTCTTGATACGATTGACCAAGAAGTTACTGACACTGCACTGATCCCCACTACAAGACAACCCATGACACTTGCCCTCTCCAAAAGATGCATGCTTGCACCATCCCAACTTACAGCAATAACCAAGACAGGCGTCTAAATCGTCTGTGTTTAGTAAAAGAGTTCTGTAGCCATGAATAGAGGAGCCAGAGAAGAATTTAGTCTGTTCAGCTCCTCTTGTAGTAAACGTCAATTGCTTTCCATTGTCGCGACAGAAATGTGCTCCTTCCGGTGGCAAGAAACTAGCACAACTCCCTACACATAAAACAGAAGAGAAACGTTTAAGAAGATAAGACATTTTATGGTCATTTTGTTTTTCATGAAGAGTACAGATTGTTTTCCTAACAATCAAATGTTTACCCTTCTGCAAGTAAGACGAAGGAACGAGACGAAAGAGTGTTATGCAAGCAAAGTTCCCTCCGCAAGGATACCACGAAAGCACCACAAATTCTGCCAAGAAAAATGTTCTTAAGAATGTAAAGCTTCGCTACTTACCGTGAAGTTGCAGAAGACATAAAATTACTATAAACACGAAGGTCACTTTGGACGAGAATACTAAGTGTTTGGGACCTGTTCGCATTTCCTCATGGTGGTTCCTCACCAACCATTCCTTCTTTACATGAAGAAGTGTTTTTTCACCGTAAGGGATCACCTTTCTTATCGATACTTGACCAAATTGTGTCCCAATTAAAACAAAATCACTGTTGCATCGAAAGTTCAAATTTTAGGCTTGAGCAGACATAGGACAACCGATAGTACTACAGGACTTCAGTTTGTTTAGGTCCATTGCGGATTACGTCATGACGAAGCAGGTTTTGATTTTCGTTTCGGATCACAAACCTAGATTGAGTCGTATAAGATCACTTCTAGTTAGGGCAATTTACGCGAACGCTACCTTTCTCTAAAGAGGTCAAAGATTAAATCCACCAAATCCAAGCAAAAAAACTAAGGTTTAGAATGTATCGTGATTTTTATTAATTAGTATTAATTCAATCTATGGTATTGCTGTTGGAAATGTCCCTACGCATAATGGCAAGTCGACAGACCCGTCTTTTTGTCAAGTGTTGACCTTCAAATGCAACCAATTGCAGAGGGTTGTTTAACATGGTTAATCTTTTATGCCGGTCCCAGGATCAATAGAGTCAACGGGTGGCATGTGTTAGGCTTGACAGGTAACATTCCATACTTCAGAGGACAGCAGTAAAATTTACTTATGATTCTCACTTTTCCCGCCAATTTTGTTGACGAATTAAAAAAGAGACACCAAACGTAGAAAGTCTCTTATTTGGAAGTGTATTCGGGTACTTTTAATCGGCGTTGTTCGGAGTCTTTTCGGAGGTCCGATTTTTTCTTTGGAAACGATCCTCAGTGTATGTTGCTTTGATTCAGGGAAAAATATTGACTAAAGAAAACTAAAAAATAGGGAATAAAATACGACTAAGAAAAGGAGAAGGGTTTTTGTTCGATACAACTGCTTAGTTTAAGGGCGATAGCGTCACATGATTCATTAATGCAAGTTCCCAATATCACTAGTAAGCAAATCATATATCATTCTAAACATTCATTTTATTTATTTAAACAATTTTTCAAAGGCAAGTGATAACACAATAGAAGATTAAGTCCCGTACGAGGTGTATCACCCAAACCCAACCCATGAAAAAATATGCTAACCAACCCTCAAAGTAAATAAATAAATAAATAAATACAACAAGTGCAAAAATAAAGTATTGCTGTGAAAAAAGAAAGAGTTTAAACTAACAACGTAATCTAGAAAAATAGAAAGACTTTTAAAACTTTTTTTAAAAACAAAACGAAACAAAAAGAAATAGATCCAGCATCCCAGGAAATCATTCGGCACGCCATTTTAATATAAAAGAGAAAAAAATGCATTAATTGATGCTAATGGCATATACATTTGAAAAAGAAGAGTAAGTTCAGATATTCAAGCCAAAAATTAATAGAGGCTTTGCAGTGTCACGTTAGGCAGCCTTGACAGGAGGCAGGACTAATTGAATTAGGTCTAATTTACATGAGAAGTAATTCAGTTTTCAAGGAGAAAAGGGGGAAATTGTTGTGTTTCCTGTCATGCTGCTTCTGTTGTAACTAGACAACCAATTTATTTCCTGTTGTAACTAGACATATCGTTAAGAAAACGAGAAAAAAAAACCGGCCCAAGAAGGGAACCCTGAGGAACTCCTGATAAGATACACAATGTGTGCATWAAAAAATCATCTTTTACTGTGGAACAGTCGTTCTATTTCACTCTATCTTCCCATTTTCCATCTAAACAAATTTTTGCTGGAACATTAAAATCTGCGCCATACATTCTTTTCAGCACCGCTGGAACATTTGATGGGCAGTTTGTTTTGATTCCCATGAAGACACACGGCTTTGTTGGGTAAAATTCAGATGCTTGGAAAGAATGCTTCAAGGTAGGCTCGTAAAAGAACGTAGCGTTCCGACGATAAACTCCAAAAACATCCACGTGCCTGTTGCCTCGTATGAGTCTTGCCATTGGGTCCTGAAAAGAACAGTCATCGATGTTTCGTGCGACAACGCGACCATCACACGATACTCGGGTCCTATTCTCGCTCGGGAATGTGACATCGGTTTGAACAACGATCCGGGTTTTTTTATCATGCTTGGAAAACTTAAAATTTCTTGGCACAGCTATGTCCCTAATTTGTCTATAGCTCTGCGCTTCGACAAAAACGTCAACGTCTGTATCCCAAGGCAAAACGTCACCGTTTCTATGGTAACCAATCAACGACCCGTAAGTTAGGAAATATAAAATACCATGTTTCTTCGCTTTTTGGTCCCAGAAGGATAAAAGATCTCGTAGAATATATCGATCATGATTTCTAGGACAGTCCGAATTTCGTTTTGGACCATAGATTGTAATGTCATCTTCTTCCTCATCCTCACTGTCATCTTCACTATCATCCTCATCATCTCTTTCTATATATTTCTGTAAAGAATCTTCGTCCATGTCACCTTCTTTTGGTTCAAATTGAACCCTCTTGGAACCATCATCACTTGGTTTCTTCGTCCCGCTTTTCCTGAAGATATGTTTAACATTTGTTTTTTGTTTTYCTTTTTTCTTTAAAGGAGGAATATTCTTTTTGGAATTCTTTCGCATGTCTTTGTTTTGAAGAATATATTGAAACCCAGAGCTTGGCGTAGTTCTAGGTAATGTTAATTTATCAGATATGTTTACATGATTTCCCTTTGAGCCAAGTACATCTTTAGTGGAGTCTCTTTGAGTTTTTCCGTTTCTACTTATATCTCGGAGTACCTCGCTTTGTATTTCATGAGGAGTTCGAAGACTGGATAAAATACTTGATATACTCTTGTTGTTATAGTTTAACGAAGGTATATCCTTATTCTCCATCGCATTATTTCTTCCGTCGACATCTTGAATGACACTTTGAAGTCCTGAGCTTTGCAACGACTTTTTGATTTTCTCACTTCCTATTTCATCGTTACCAGTAGTACGCCCAACACATTTTGTCATTGGATTACAACCGTCAAATTTTTTTATCCACTTCACCAAAAATAAAATCATAAAAACTGCTAACCCAATTTTGGCAAGGAAGATTTTTKTTGACATTTTTGGCCCGATATTCCAAGGAATTTCTTTTAAAAAAAACGAGAAATTTTGCTAAGACGGGTTTTGATTGGAAAGATCCATTGGTAATTTCGTCTCTTCGGTCGATTGAGAACTTGAATCGGATCAATCACATGAACGGTTCGGTCTAAACGTTGCGAAACTGCTTGTGTTCAGCGGTTACAGGAATTGTCTCTATTTACTGATTTATGTAAATGAATCATATTTTGAAATACCTGTTGAGCGCACCTGATCCATTGATTAAGGACCGTTACTATATCATAACTTGTCATGTTACCTGTTCTTTTTAAATTTATTGCATTTATGATTTCATGACCTGTATCACATAGTCTTTTGCTTGTGGTGTCACGGCACACATAAAATTTATTATATTTCTGTGGTTTATCCTTCAGACCAAAGCCATTGTCTTGGTTGCGCGTTATAAAATTCAGGTATTCAACCGAAACACGTAATATTTTAATTAACTCGTATTGTTCCGTAGTAGGTACACTCCTCACTGTACAATGGAACTGAAGCTACTGAGACTGAGTAAAGGTGAACTCGAAATAGAGCGTTTTCACGTGACGTCACAAAGGCCATCATGGGGTACCAAAACAATACATTTTCTATCCTCCAGGAATTGAACTCTATTTTTATGCAAATACTGTGCAGAAAGTTTCTATCGTTTGTGGCTGCCTTCTCACGTGAGTGAAAACGCTCTATAGGAGTATTCAAGACTAAAGTTTAATCATATGACGTCACGCATTGGCTCAGACTCAGACACATTTATCTAACCTTTTTTTATGTTATCGAATATAAGTTCCATAAATTGAACAAACCAACCATGAACTGCAATGAGAGAAAGAAATACCAGGGGCCTAGCCAGGAATTTCCTAAGGGGCGGGAAAGAGAGCCAAATTCAAAAATCCGCCATTTTGTTTGGGCCCCGAAATGCAGAACCAAAAAAAAGAGCAGGCACTATGTTTTACATCTTAATTTTGCAGAGCTTAGGAAAAAAAGTCAAATAACCGTATAAATTTTATTAAAGCTGCCATGGGGTGGGGGCATGCCCCCCTCGCCCCTCCTCCCGCCTACGCCCTTGAATACAAGACACCACAGGGAGCCCAACAAAATATGGCGCAGTTACTACAAAAAGCTAACACACAAACTTTCGTAGATCTGACAGCGTCACCTTCAAATATTGTACAAAAAGGGATCTTTTATTAATATAAAAATATTAGGACATTAAATCTATAATACATACCTTAGTAAAGAATAAGTTCTCGCCAGCGAACATGACCATTGATCGATCTGTCAGAATGTCGTTACTTGTTGATCGTGTACTACAGACAATTCCAGATAGATTCTTTCCTCGATCATTGCTTTGAGCTTCCACATTTATTGTTTCATCCATTGTAAAAAGCATAAGCATGAATTAAATCTCCTTAGAAACTTGTAGAAATCTTAAATGCTTCATTTATCTAACTCCGATCTGTTTTTGTCATCTGTATTTATAAATAATTTTGGCGGGAATATTCAAAAGCTGTAAGGCGTTCCAGAACGTGAAGAGGAAAAACTGGGATCAGAGGGGRAAAAAAGGAACGCCTCGTAAAATAGCTACTAGTAAGTCTGGTTTCCATCATTAGTACTGTATGGTCCATGTTGAATTATTATTTTCCCCTTGGCTTCTAAAAATAAGTTCTTAAAAAAATCACTTCTTTAGAGAGTTCCAAGGACGTTCAGTTATTATTGAACATCTTTTATTTTAGGTGCGTATCCCATATTCGGGTCCTAGACTCGGTTGTCGATCTCAAAATGGCGGAGTCGGCCATTTCGGTTGATGACTTGGAAAAGATTAATATCCTAAAGGAATTCACGGATATAACAATGACTGGAGAACCCACAGCTATTCAGTATTTAGACAAACACCAGTGGGATATTGCAGTAAGTGAAATATGTTTAATGAGATCAATGAAAATCAGGATGAAGGTGTTACACTATATTATTCTTCGTTTGCACACGACGTCATAATCGCCCTGTTGG